CTTAATTTTCTCATTTCTGATATCAATACATGAAATTATCAGAAAAAATCTAAAACGATCAAATAAAATATTTTTGTGAAAACAAACCATTACAGTAGCACATTTTACGCGAATCCAATTATCCCGAAATAGTTCCAATTGTGTTAAATTAACTTTTTTACTTTGGTGCTGAAGTTGTACACTGCGTGATGCATAACATGTAACAAACTAATATCCGTTTATTTAATTTCATGTATTTTAAACAGAGTATTTTCCACATAAAGTGAGACGTGCCCTGTTCACGCAACGTAGAATAATAACCCCGCCGTATTCCATGAGAACCGACGTTATTTATACAAACACGTGCATCAAGGTGTGTCAGAGTTATTGGGCGTAGAATAGCAAAGAGCTTCAGACAGTCTACAATATTTATTGCTTTGACAAGATGTATATCTATGAGTTTCAGTCTGGTGATTTCTATTGAAATCGTTTTGTTGTCCTGGTTTTGCAACATTTTGTCTCTGTTGTGAATAGCAGAGTTTTCTGGATCAACGTTTCACCAGTATCTCATCCAGACGTTCAACATTACAATTACATACAAAAGTCACGTGAGTAGTTCAGCTTTTCTTAAGTTTTTTTTAAACGAGTTATTCTATATATTGGTAAATTTGACAAATGTCAAGTTCTCATAGGACAAATTGCGTGGCATTAATGTACGAGTGATAACAGAGACAGTGTGTTCATATTGTTGTTTTTTCCGGGTATACATTGTGATTTCTTTTTCAATTCATGCAAAAGTGAGCAAAGATGATCTGTTTGGTACTAAACTGAGTGAAACAACATTTGTACAACTATGAAGGTTCAACAGTTCATTTCCAGTTTACTGACAGTTAAATATAGGCCACGGACGTTTACTAGATCTCGACCCAAAACGGGCCATTATTCGTTAACGTCCGAGTTGCCATACTTTTACGAAATCCTATTGCGAATTCGGTGCGAACAACAAAGTTTTTGTGCTAATATTAAATGATGCGAAACACAACGCCATCTTGCACAAGACCTTTGACAAAAAGGTTCACATATTTTTACACTTATTTTACATATCTGAAATATGTGTGACAACGTTGTGTTATTCCTATTGTTCTATTTTTACAGGATATTTCGCACTAACAAAATTAGACATTGTTTTTTGGAGGTTAGCATAATTTAGGTTGACCGAGACAATAAGAAAATCACGCTGCCAATGTTTGACCAATTTGAGGGAAGTCGGGTTTACATTGTTGTCCTATTTTGACTAGATTTTGATCTACTTAAACATATTTGACATTTTGTGTGTGGAAATTTGGGTCAACTAAATAATTCCATATTTGCCGTTGATTTGTAGAAAAGTTGATTTAACCTTGCCGTTTCATTCTGACTATATATTAGAAATAGTGTTTCCTGCTACATTGGGTATAGAATATTCGACATTTTTTGGAAAAGACTCGTGCGGCAAATACTTGACCCTGGACCTACGTGTTACTGTACTATATTTGACCACTGGCGAATCATTTGTACACAACGTAGTCGAGAGCATGTTGGGAGATAAAACTGTAAAACTGTTTGTCCGCCTTCATGGCGTTATATAGATTATAAACACCTATCTGGAAAGTAAAATATAGTTACGTCATAAAATGACTTCAATGGTCTTGAAGTGTTCATTGGTGATAAAAAAAAGTGTGACAGAATCACCCCATTGAAGCACGTGACGTTCGAAGTTGTCGCGTGGTATGAAGTGACGAACCGACCATGCGGTGTGAATTAAACGCAAAAACACGCAACATACACAAGACAGCATCATATATCACTTTTTTATTGTTTTATAGTAATAATCACAATGGCCAACAAAAAGGAAATTGACAATACTGGCGAGGTAAGTCATTAATGCGGTATTAGTGATGAGATTTCTCGCATCCAAAAAGTTTCATTTCAGTAACATACAGTAACACTATCAATATATATATGACCGAGTATCTACGCTTTATCGTTTGCGCTTTCAGGCGTAGAATTTATTCAAATAACAGGAAATAGAGGTGGTTTATTTAGAATATTTAATACAATCTTCACAGAATGAACAGCATACTAAAATTATGAATCCAATCATGGCTAAAGTAAATAACTCCTGTATAAAAATCAGGGTTAACTCATTTCTAGTGAAGGGAGGTCAGCAAGGTATTACGTAGTCAACATACTTTGGAAATTCCGAACCCATGACCCCTAAGATGTTCCCGAGATATTTAACATAGTATACCGAACAATATATTTACGAGTTTTGGAGTTATGTGTTAGATATAAGCCCGGTATAGATTATAAGAATGCTAACCAGAATCTATAAGAAAAAGAACATATTTTCTGACGATACTATATTCGATGTAAGCTATATGCGTCTTACACAAAGGAACAATTACCATTATGGCAGCATTCAGTCACAGGCCCCACAATGTTGTTTCAAACACAATTTTGAATAAACATTAAACGACTTAATAAATTAACAGAAACAAAATGTAATTCTCACACAATTCAAACATCATTTTCATTACTTCATATCATGTGTAGGAATGGAAAAAAATGGGTAGTCGACTAGTTTTGGGCGGATTTGAAAAATATAGGGGTTACGTCAAAATTACGTAATTTTCCCACAAAAATTAAAAGAAATCAGAAATAAAATTTTAAATCGTAGTCATACATTTTGGGATATCATTAGTTTAAGATTTTTTTCATAAAGTATTTACTAATAGATGGAATTTCATTTATTCACACTATACCCAATCTCATAGTGGTATATATCAAAATGACACTACTCTTACGTAGGGTTGTATACTGCAAACAATTTAACAAATTTAGAATTTGTTATTGAAATATTCCTATTATTATACGCATGCGTAATGAATGCATAGTATGTGCCTGGGTGCAAACAATCAAACTTTTAACAGAGGCATTGTACAATCATGGAAACACAGTTTACTCACATAAGTTTATACATTATTGAATTTACAAACAAGTTATATAAAAAAAGAAATACGGAGATTCCATGAGTGATATTAACTATTCAGAAAAGGGTATGTGCACGTACAAATCATGGAATAATAATTTTCTTGTTTTGCATGTGCAGCAGTTACTGGTTCGTCAAAAAAAGCACAAAAGTGTTTTCGATGCCAATTCATATGCTGGGAAGAAGACAGTGGCACAAGGATTTATAGATTTCGCTTTACTCACAGCGAATGCCTCTCACCTGGCTACTTTATGGCGCAGCCACAGCAATGGATCAACACCAGAGTTTTTTGTCATTCTAAACATCGGATTGATTCTCTCAATTATACTGCAGCTGATCACCAGCCTCGTTCTCGTGATTAAATTTCGTTTAGACATCAACAGAAAAGAAGACCAGCCAAAGGCAGAAAAAATGACGTTTGCTGTATCTGTTTTAGTGATGTTGATTTTGTTTACAAACGTGTTCATTGCGGCTTTTAGTGTACAGTAAAGGCCATCCCGCCTATAAATGACCGCTATTCGGCCATCTTGTATCCAATATATTCGATGTATGGGTTAAAAAGCGTTGGTCGACGTGCAGCATTTTACACACGTTATACCCGTCACTATGAGTCCCATATCTTACAGAACGCGGCACGATGACCACCGCCTTTTAATCGTATAACTTCATTTAAAATATGTGCACATATACCAAGTGATTGGTAATTGGAATTATTGAAAAATAACACACGTTAATTATGGAATATGTGTTCGTGTCCCTTTAGCCGGCAGAACGCACGCCACCAACGACAAAATATCAGTCAATGTTTTGAGAGTGGCATTATAATAATCAAAGACACGGAAATCATAGTTGTTAATAATTTCATTTATTGATAGTTTTATTTTTAAGAGTTTTTTTCTTGGGTTTTGTTGTTAAATATTGATACTAGGCCTAGCGATATTAATGTTATTTTTTTATTACTTTCAGTTTTTTTTTTTTTTTTTATTTATTATCAGTTTTCTTCAATTCTAAGCCATGTCTCCGACAACAAGTCAAAAATTCTGTATTCAATTTTTTTCAGAATAACGTCTAGTTGTTTAATTGTTCCTAATATATAGAATGTTAATACCTTGGGACATACAAACTTAGTTATTGCTTAGTTCTAATATCCGTGTATTGGATCACATGAAAATAAACCACACTTGTGATCACCCGGGGTTCTTATGATACCCGGAAATAGTTTGAGAATATTTTGCTGAATTCACCTCCCACGATCAATGTCAGAGTACAATTTTATTCTCAATCAAGAGAATGCAGTTGCATGGTTATTGAATATGCATTAGACGGTGTTCAGGCCGCAATTTGTTTTTATCTTTCGAGGAGTTACCTGGTGCAAGTAGTTTTAGCGATATCTTTGTTCTAATCAGACAGTTTTAACTTGTGGCAGTTTTTGAACTTTGGATTTTGTTGGTTGAAAAATGGTCTTCACGTTGATAAATGAATCACGGTACTTACTCGACTTTATGCAGAAGTAAAGAAAGATGAGTAATGGCAGAGGGATTTGAAGAAGGACACCACCAGTACCAATGGCTGTCCCAATGTCCGACGCCAACCACATCAACATGATTCAAATTACGACCGCTGTAATCCATTATTGTGGTTGTAATTCCCGTTTTTACAACGTCGGGAATTCAGCATAGTCTATCACGATTTGCCTAAGATTGTGCCCGTTTCAACCTCTGTGTGAAAGACAATTATTACAGGTCAATACTTTAAGGAACGACGTCAAAAGATCGATGTCAGATAAAAAAAACTTATTTGCTTTATTTTGGAGGTGGGGGGGTGACATCAAAAAGTTTCCATCCTACAAAAACGATTTTATTTTTCAATGAAGTCAAATAAATCTTGGAGTATTTGTAGTTCGTTTTTTTTATACCCATTCATGGACAAAAATAACAGAAAATAAAAAAAACACATCCAAGACGAGACAATAGTTTGGTCCGAGTGTAAATGTGTGCGTCAAATGACGTCAATTTCAGGGCATGGACCTAGAGCATGTATTTAAGGTAGCGAGAAGGTTTTGTGACGTTTTTAAATAAAACATTCTCTGTCTGTTGTCTCGTTCAGAACAGTAATTTAGGTTATATATATCAAAAGACTAAGTATAGAGGTGCAAGTTCGCACAAACTGGACAGACATTGTTTACATAATTATCACGTGACATCAAAAATGGCGAACCTTGTAAAAATGACTAAGTACGTGATTGCGAGAGCACACTGTGGAATTTCCTGGTGAAATTTAAGTTATGCATTGTCCGTAATCAAGTCCATTGAAATGCGTCTCCGATAATCAAAAGACCTATTATTCCGATTTCTATGCAGGTTTGTTTTTTTGTCCCCAAATTATTTCATACTTGGCACCTTTAACAGACTATTATTCTGTGATAAAGCATTTTCTTTAAAAACCCAGACATATTTCGCACCATCATTATCTTTTGAACGATAACTGCGAGTTTGAATGTCCTAGTCCGAACGCACTTGATTTGGCGGCGGTCCCAATGAGTCGTTCTCGATCAAAACTTCAACTCGAGAAAAACGCGAAAAACAGTTTTGGTTAATAAAACACTGTAGATTTGCTGCATTATTATAAATATACACTAAAAATGGCCAAACATATTAACCACTGATATCATAGAACTCATAAAGAGTATCAGATAATGAATAATTTCAAGCTCGAGCGCGAAAAATGAAGAAAACTGCTGGCATTTGAGTCCGTACTCCAGGAACGTTCGGGTTTTCCATTGTTATGCAAACGAACAACGAGGGATAATCCTCTGACAAACATTACTGTCCCACTGTACACGCTGACAGTTTACAAACAAGCTAATCCTTCATGTGTCTCTGATAAGACATCTAAAAACGGTTTTCATGGTAAAACAAAATGGCCGATGTTTGAAAAAAAATTGCTGTGTCAGAGTGCGACACTGAGTGGCAGATTTTTCTTTGCCTCGTCTGTCAACGCTTTCTTTCTTTTCTTCGCCATTGCGTTAGAAAAAAAATGTAATAGTAAAATAGAATAATGCCTTGGAAAATAAAATGATTTAAAACTTGAAGAAAGTTGTGCAAAGTTACAGTACTCCTTTCGCACAACCTCCCGCCTGCTTCCGCTTTCCAATCACCTTTTTCTCTCGATTTTGCGACCGCTTGTTGAATTCGACCGGACAATTTTCGCTTTATTTTCGACCGCGAAAACCCCAAAATATCACCGCCCACCTGCTCGCTCGCGCGCATTTAAAATTCAGACTAACAGAATAATTTCCGAGGTTCACATTGTCTTATAATTGTCTTTCTGGTTTTTATAGATGTTGAACAGCTGACAAAAGTTCAAATACTTTTTGTTTTAACTACATATAATTATATGCACGCAACCTGACCTTTTGACCTCGATTTGGCTTGGACTGAATATTTTATTGTAAACAATATTCTGACGTGAAATACAAAATGTATTTCAACACAAGTACGACATGGTTGTCTAGGGTTTCTTTCCTGATTGTTGAGTCTTCGCAATGTGTTTTGTATAATTATTGTTGTTTTCCCCCGATGCTGAAAGACCGTAAAGCTAAATGGCAGTTACATGCATGAGCTGAGTGAAAGAAA